TCGCTATACAACTGTAGACATTCTTTGATTTTTAGAGCTTCGTTTTGTGTGGCCCTGAAAAATAGCAATCTGTCGTCAGCAAAAAGGAGATGGGTGATCGTCGGGGCTCCCCGGGCCACCCTTACCCCGTGAATGTCACCACGTGCCTCCGCTTGCTGTAACAGTAAGGATAAACCTTCAGCACAAAGGATGAAGAGATATGGGGATAACGGGTCCCCCTGGCGTATACCCCGAGTAGTGCACACCGTGCCAATGGCCTTCCCATTAACTTGAATTGTGTAGTTAACGGTTGAGACACATAACATAAGGGATTGAACCCATTCCCGTGCATAGCCAAGCGCACCCAACATCCCCTCTAAATAACCCCATTCTATCATGTCGTAAGCCTTGGCCATGTCTAATTTTAAAGTAGTCCACCCCAAAAGCCCACTCGTCTTTCTTCTTAAATAATGACCAAGTTCCCCTACTATGATGATGTTGTCTGTTAGGAGTCTGTCAGGGACAAAGGCACTTTAGGATTGTGACACAATTTTTCCCAAGGTTCCTTTGAGCCTATTAGCCATCATCTTTGCAAAGACTTTGTAAGCGACATTACAGAGGGCTATCGAGCGTAAATCAGCCACCTTTTCAGGGACCTTTTCTTTGGGAGTAATACAATGTTTGATGTATTAAGTCCCGGCGGAAATGCCCTGTTTGCCATGCACTTGAAGATGAAAACCGACAGATCATGTCCTAAGACCGGCCAAAAATGTTGGTAAAAGGCCGGGGACATGCCATCTGGCCCAGTGCTTTTTCCGGCGCCATAGCAAATAGTGCCGCTTTCACCTTTGCCATCGTGAACGGTTGTAACAGGGAGATATTTATCTCAGCAGTTACCCGTTGTTGTACACGATGAAATAGATCCTGGTTACTGTTGTCGAAACAAAAAATGCAATTAAAATACCTTAATATTCATTGTGCTTAGCCGTCCCATCCTTCCAATGCCCCTCCAGGTCCTTGATCCGTTGCAAGTTATTTCTTTTGCGGCGGATTGTGGCCATCTTATGAAAATACTTTGTGTTAGCATCCCCCTGTTTCAACCACAGCTGCTTGGACCACTATTTCCAGAAAATTTCCTCCTGCTTCAGTAAATTCTCCAGCTCCCCTCGAACAAATAAAAATTCATTCACTACTTGCGTGCTCCTATCCTCCTTTAAAACATCATATTTGCGCTGCAAATTTCTAATACGGTTCCCAAATAATCTGAAATGTCCCCCCCCCCCCCCCCCCCACTTCCACAACTGCTTCCCACATAGCTCAATTCGCTCCTGGAAAGGCATTCCCAGAGACTGGCGCCATGCCTCTTCAACCACCTTCGAACACCCTTCTTCCATTAGCCAAGCCGATTCAAATTTGAAAGTGCGCATGGCTGTACGCACAGGTCTCGTTTCCAAATCAACAAAAATGGCACAATGATCTGAGGATAGGTATATAGGTTCTGAACCACCACCTCTTCGTGTAATTCTGACCACTCCACCGTTGTCACTACCGTATCCAGACGCTCCTCAATCCATGCATTAGTTCCGTGACCACGCTCCCATGTGAACCGAGCACCTATCATTTCCAGATCATTTAATCGACAATCGCTTAGGGCGTCGTTGAAACCCTCAATGAGTGATTCCGGGTGCGAATGGGAGCCTCTTTTCTCCAATAAACCTGTAATATCGTTGAAGTCTCCCACCACAAGCCACGGGAGTGTCGACTTATCTCTGAGTTGGCGCAGAAGATTCCATGTAACATGCCGCTGCGATCTGTCCTAGTTACCGTAGAAACCAGTGAGCCTCCATCGTGGTCGACCTGGAATATCAATTACCACGTCTATATAGTTCACCGAGTAACTTAACAAAGAGGTCGCATCAGTATCCCTCCAAAATAGGGCTAATCTACCACCTAGTCCCACACGATCCACGCTAAAAGCCCCTTCAAAACCCAATTGCACTCTCACCTGCTCCACCTTCACATCATCCGCCTCCGTTTCCATTAAGAAAACGAATGAGGACCGTTGCTTGGACACCATGCCCAAGAGTTCGCGAACTGATCGGGTGCCGCCCAAACCCCGGCAGTTCCAGCTTATGATACTCATTGGTCCAGGCGAGCATGGCCCTCCAGACCCGCCTTTGGCAGAATTATAGCAGATTCCAGCATTGTTACATCACCTTCCTAAGCACTTCCCGACGTCCCACTCTCCTCCCTGCGCCTGGTGGGACTGCCTCGCATATCAGAAGGCTGTTCTCAAACGTCCATGGGCCATCATTAATGACCCTCTTAATATCCTTCAGAAGGGGAAATTAGAAGAGGAACAATTCGTCCGTCAAGTTGATCACCTGCATTCCCATTACCGGACACCGGTCTCCAGACGGATGCCATGATTTGTTGCATAAACTTGAATTTGATTGGCCGATCCGTAAGAAAACGGCCGACAAGATTGTGTTGGATCGACGCATCCGGACATGCTTGGACAGCATGCGCTTCTAAGCCGATGGATTCTTCCTCAACCAGATTCATAGCCGCGCACCTTTCCTCAATTTGTCTGGTATCCATGATGAATTGGGGAAAACAAACGAACACAATCACCAGAAAAACACAAAAGCATATTGACGATTCCATTGTGCAAAATCAATATAAAAGCCCTAGACACCTAGGGAAACACTCTCTCAGCCTGCACTAAGAGAGGGAGCCACGTTCAAAAACAAACATAGAAGCACGATCAAAGAACACACGATCAGAGATCACGATCGGAGATTTGCGAGAGGATGTGAAAAGTACGAAGCATTGGTTAATTATATTTGCACTTAATTTTTTTTTAGAGATTTTAATGTAAGAAAAATAATATTTTAACTTTAACAATATGAGAATAATTTATACATTTATAATAATTTTACTTTACAATTTATGATGTGACTTTTATATTTATTAACTTAATTTTTATTAATATTTGAAATTAATTATGTTATCATATAATTTTTTTAAAAAGAGGTAATTATAATCAAACTAGTTTTTTACGCGCATTGCGCGATTGGGATAATGCCCAATGCTTTTTTTTAAATAAGTACTTTAAAGTATATTAAGACAGGATTATATTGAAATTGTTCATGCATAGATAATTGAAGGTTGAATTTGCGTATTTAAATAGGTAATTCTTCTCCCAAAGGTTGAGTCCCCAACCCCAAGGGCCCCCCACACTCCGACCCGACAGAGCATTGTGGGAAGTTGTAAATCACGGTGACTCAATGGTTCAGCAGACAGGGCCAAATGCTGATACGCACAAGGAATCTGCCCACTTTGGACATAATTCCCGCACTGCCGCCGCCGAGGTTCAAACCTTCGTCTCTTCTCCCAAATACTACCCACTAAACCATTGAGCTAAGCCCGTGCGGGTTAAATAGGTAATTCTAAGTTTACAAATGCAAGATAATATAGTCAAGATTGATTATAATTGTCAATAAAATAATTGTATAGGTATCGTTGAAACCAAATACGGGACATAAGGGAGAACAAATAAAAATTAGGACATAAAATATTAAATATATACTAATATTGTTTGAGGAGATTCCGACATTAGGATTTGTGGTTAAGTTCTATTAAGACTTTAATATTCTTCCAAAAAAGGCTGAACCCCAACCCTAATATTAGAATTAGATTAATGGTGTAGTTATAATTCTATATTAGACTTTAATATTAGAATTAGAACGGTGAATTAACGGAAAAGTTAAATGGATAATCATATAATTAGGGATAAATTAGAAAATCTTAAAAGAAAAAATTAAAACCTGAACAATATGAACCATTCATTTGATTTAATAATTTGGCGGTCATTTTTTCTACCCAATGTTAATAATTAAATAAATTCGCTGGTCAAATCCGCTAGTATAATCCGCTAACGTTAATCGCTAACTGCTGATTGTCAAACAATGACATTGCGAGGTAGTTCTCACTTCAATTTGTTGTGTGATTTGAATACTCTCGTTGTCACAAAATCTCTCAAGTAGTTAATATGGTTGACTTTATTAATTATATTTTTTTAATTTTTTCATGGTATTAATAAAATACTTGGTAAATATATATATATATATATATATATATATATATATATATATATAGCATTATTTTGTATTATAACTTTGATATTTAATTAGAAAAATAGTGCACAAAAAAGATAATAGATAATGTAGTGAATATAATCAATTGATGAATTTGAATGTAAAAATTTTTACATTTGAGAAAAATAAAGACAATATAACTAATGAAAATATTTCTTTTAATTAATTTATTGATAATTAATAATTTTTTTTTTCACTGAATAAAGACATTGTAAGGATAATGTAGCGAATATAATCAATTAATAAATTTGAATATAAAGAATTTTTATATTGAAGAAAAATAAAGACAATATAACTAATAAAATTATTTCTCTTATTTAATTGATTGATAATGAATAATTTTTTTTTTTTGAATAAAGACATTGTGGACACATAATTCTAAATTAAAGAAATGCATATGTATTATTTTTTGTTGTAACTACTAAATTATTATTTATATAATTTAATAAAAGTAAAATAGAGTACTAATTATGCCAACTTTGATTGGGATGAGGTTCGAACCTAAAACCTTTTTTTTTTATTGAAGTCAATGAGTAAGTTAACGGTGAACTAACGGCAATTCTTAAAATTTTAACGGAATTAGTAACGGTGTGTGGGTATTTTAGGAACTTTTAGTGTAAAATTTAAATCTGATCAATCTTTTAATTAATCTGAGCCATTCATTTGATTAAAATCTGTGACCGCCATTTTTTCTACCCATTATAGGCCTAACTCTCTTGGGCTCTTATTAGTATAGTAGATTATAGGCCTAACTCTCTTGGGCTCTTATTAGTATAGTAGATATAGTAGATAGATTAATTAATTTGATGACCTAAATTTAACATCTATTTAGCAAAAATCTTAACCGAAGACTATTTGTGGTCAAAATGAAAGTCAAGGTACATGCTTTGGTCAAATTAAAGTCGATAACTAAAAGGAGTACTAGCCCAATAGTCAAAGGACCATGTGTGGTATTAACTCATTTATCACTCGTTATTTGATAGACCATGGTCCACACAGCTGTGTGTGTCATAAATAAAAAGTACATTTTCAATATACTAAAAGTAAATTTATGTACGTAAAGCATTAAAAATATACATTGTATTATTATCGACACAGCTATATAGACCATGGTCTATACAAAACTTATTTATCATATATGAAACAATAGAATCAATATTTTAAATAATTTATTTTCCATATAATTTAAATTCAATTCATTTCTATATATAGATAATATGGGCGGTTAGAATTTGTTTTTAGAAGAGATAAAAGCCCAAAAAATAATATTCCGGGGCCCCAATAAACACGGCCCATGACCACACAATACAATGAACTCTGTCACACAGAATTCTCCCTCCGCTAGGGTTTTTAAGATTAGGTTCCACTTCACTCCCCCCACTGCCGCCTTTGTTAAGGTTTCAGAATCCCCGTTTTCTGTCTCTCCAGCTCTCCGTTTATCTTTTGATCCATTTCCATGGAGTCCAATCAGTAGACTTTCTTTACTATTCAGTAATCTCTGTTGAAGATTCGGGAATTAGATACATCTTTCTGTATCTCTCTATTTCTACACCCAAGTGAAAGTCCGAGGAATGGCGACCATGAACCCGTTTGACCTTCTGGGTGACGATGACAACGATGACCCATCTCAGCTCCTCGCTGCTCAGCAGCAAAAGCTTCCACCTTCCGCCCCGGCTGCCAAGAAAGGGCCTGTTCAGGCTCAGTCGCCGAAGCCCGCCGCCGCCGCCGCCAAGATGCCCTCCAAGCCTTTGCCCCCGGCTGAGGCTGGTAATGAGCATCACCTCCTTTAATATGTTTAAGTGTGATTATATTTGTATCTATATCTCTTTATATACATTCTACATGCGGGTTCTTTTTCTCCAAATGTGCCTGATGATTTGGTTATTGATTAAATTAGTTGAACGAAGAGAACAATGTGGTTTTTGTGCCTATATTTTGGTTTGTGTTATTGCATTTTGAGCTTAAGGTTGCTTAGTGGATGGATGGATTGAAGTTTGTCTTTGATATGAGTTTCTGATTCTTTTCAAAGCACCTATATGTTAGTTTTTACTTATCTTCCCACTCAAAGTAAAGAAGCCCCGAGTGTGTGTATGCATTTATGGCAGTCTATTTGTATGGCTGAACCTTAATAGTTTGTATTGACACATAGGACCATTTTTACATTTTGCTTAACATGTGAATAAAAATGAATGTGGTATAGTTATTATTGTATTGATCAAGCATGAATATCCCGTGCATTTTCTATGCATAAGAACTGATGCTAATTCCAAAATTTCATGTTTAACAATTTTGTTGTAGTAAGGGAGTCCAAAACTGACTTTCAGCGAGGACGTGGTGGCCCCCGTGGTGGACGTGGCCGTGGTGTTGGTCGTGGCCGTGGGTTCAATCAAGATTCTATAGACACTGAGAATGCCTTTGGCAGCAACAACGGTTTTTCAGGGGGTTATAGACCTTCAGAAGAGGGAGAAGGTGGAAAAGCTTCTGAAAGAAGAGGAGGATATGGTGGGCCTCGTGGGGGTTTCCGTGGTGGTCGTCGGGGAGGTTTCAGCAATGGTGAAGCTGCTGCAGATGGGGAGCGCCCGAGGAGGACGTTTGACCGCCGAAGTGGAACAGGGCGTGGGTTAGTATTGCTCAATTTACTACACCTTTGCGGATTTTGGAAATATTCTTCTGTGTTGATTATGCATCTCTTTTCTGTTGTAGGAATGAATTTAAACGTGAGGGTTCTGGTCGTGGGAATTGGGGAACTCCTACAGATGAGATAGCTCCGTAAGAATTACCTCAGATTACATGAATTTGTTGCAGATATTGCCATTCGTTTTGATATTTTTGGTGTGAGTTCTAATGCTTTCTTTATTCTTAATTCAGAGAAACCGAGGAACCTATTAATGAAGTTGAGAAGACTGTTGATACTGAGAAACAAACTAGCCAGGAAGATACTGGAGATGCCACCAAGGATTCTCCACCAAATGAGACCGAAGAAAAGGAGCCCGAGGAGAAGGTAAAATTCTTTTGGAAAATGATAAGAAGTACTCCCTAACTTGGTTTTGAATTCTAATTTTTTGATTGTCAAATTAAGTGATTATGTAATTGTATAGTTAGCTAATCTTGGTCTCCCACATTAGAAAGTATTTTTTACCCCCACAGTACACCTAGTATTATAACTCAATTCTTTTCCGGTAACCACCATCATTGCCCCACAGCCACAGCCACAGCCATTGAATGAATTATCCAATGAGATAATTATTATTATAATTTCTCCTATTAAAACAGATGGAAAGGGTGTCTATTTCAATTGAAATTGTAATGTACAAGTCGTTAACATGCTCATGTTTGCTTGCTCACTTCAACTAATACTCCGTCTGTCTCATTTTACCTGTCTTTGTTTACTACGGAGTATTTATTGGTCAAACCAATTCTTTCTTCTTTGCTTATTTTCTTTAGTATTTTTTTACTTATTTTTAATTTTTTTTTTTTGTGTTTAATAGTATTCTTAATATAGTTTCTAAACATATAAATTTTGTATAATAATACTAAACTTTATATTATGAAAAGTTGAATTAAAAGTAACTTCAGTCAAGCCTCATTAACCGAATGAGATACATAAAATAGGATGGAGGGAGTATAATATTCTTTCATATGGTTTATGCTTTGATAGGAGATGACTTTGGAGGAATATGAGAAGGTACTGGAGGAGAAGAGGAAGGCGTTGCTTGCATCAAAGCCCGAGGAGAGAAAAGTGTGTTTGGATAAGGAGTTTGCGTCGATGCAGTTGCTTTCCAACAAGAAGAATGATGAGGAAGTCTTCATTAAACTGGTGAGTTTTGTTTTGGTTTATAATAAATGTGACGGTCCTTGTTGCATTTCTCCCTCGCTCGATGTTTCTGTTTATTGAAGTATTTATTTTGTGTAAGTATTGGTTGTTTTTTCTGCTACCCTTCAAGTTTATGGGGTTTAGGAATAGCAGATTGATTCATGTCTATGTAACGTGCAGGGATCTGAGAAAGAAAAAAAGAAAGAGGCTGGAGAAAAGGTTAAAAAGGTACTATTTTTGTTTTCATGTTTCTCTATAGGCTTTTGGCAAGTAGCGATTTACCAGTTTTTGAGGTGTGCAAAATACTCTCTATATATGCGGACACAATTCACCGTGGTATAGTGCCCCTACTTTCAAGCTAATTGATTGTGAAACTATTTTAACGGACTGAATTGCAGTAATGTTTGTTATTATACCAGAGATTCAGACATATTGAGAATAGGTGTTTATACTACAATTTTCGTGCGACTTGCTTCCCTATGAAGTTATACTAGAATCTCGGTTTTTATGTTTCTTCTCAAATTTGTAGTTTTTTCTTTGTTCATTCATTTCATTCATCACCTTCTTCATACCCGGTAACTCACCTTAACATGTTCTTTTGTTTCCAGACGAAAAACATCAACGAGTTTTTGAAACCAGCTGAAGGAGAAAACTACTATCGCTCTGGTGGACGTGGGAGGGGCCGTGGGCGTGGCCGAGGAGGATACGGTGGAAGCCTGTCCAGTGTTGACGCTCCATCTATTGAGGATGTCGGGCAGTTCCCTACCTTGGGTAAAAAGTGAGTGATGAACGACGCGACGCTTTTCCATCGACACCTTATGACTGTGACTTGTGATTGTTTCGACTTAGAAACCCGCTGGACCTGGTTGTTTCTTTACTACAATTATCTTTTTAAACTTGTTTTTTAAATAGTGTACATTTAGTTGTTACCGTCCGAGGGTTATATCTTTAACTTTCTTGGTTACAGTCTCTACTTTTAGAATTTAGGTACTCTTTTTACTACATCTTTGATTTCTTTCTGGGATCTTGACTTGAATTGGTAACAGTTTTGTTTTTCTCAATCTGGGTTTTTGTTTCACTGCATCTAGTTTCTGTCTTGTCTCTAGAGTTTTGTCTGTTGGTAAATATCAATCTAGGAGCGTCTAATTCTGGTAAAGTTCAGACGGCTGACAGTTTGGTTATATCCTATGAAGTTGAATCTACTGAATCAAACGCCATCCAATAATGCGTTGAAGAGATCCTGACTTTAGTCTTCAACTTTATACAAAAGTGTAATTAAACTTTTAAATTTTTGAAAAATGCAATTTGACATTTCAACTTATTAGAATGGGTTATCGCTTTTATTAATGATAACATGCATTACATTGAGCATAAAAAAAAACTCATAACATAGCCTTTAACAACAAACATTCTTAGTTTAGGCAAAACTATTTTATTTGGCTCGAAGACCATTCCAAAACCATTCTTGTTCAACGTCAGTTCTTTCTCGGAAGTCATCTTCAGAACCACCTTGCCCATGCCCTCCACAAAGGATTGAGTAGAGTTTCCCATCCACACCTTCCGCCCTCAATGGTCTTGAAGGTGTTAAATAGCTCACGGTTGCAATATCGATGCCTTGTTGCATAAGTGTCGATGAACACTCGTGCAGGTTAGAACCCACGAGGTTCACCTCAGTCACCATGGTCAAAAGGCTAATATCGGCCTCCTTCTGACTGCTTTGCCCAACAACGTTGGCTTCAGAACTCTTATTCTTCTTCCTTGGTGCCTTACAATCAGATGACTTGTGGCCATTTTTGCCATAGTTGAAGCTTTTACCATTGAATTTTACTTTGGTAATGCTTCCTTTCGGACCTAGCTTCTGCTTGTCTTTCTTAGCATTCTTGGAGCTTTTATCGTGCTCCGCAACATTGGCCTTAGCGCCACCAATGACAGAACCCTTTCCATCATTGTTCCTATTGCCCTCCTCAATTCGAAGTCGTTGGATCAACTCCTCCAGATTCATTTCCTTTCGCTTGTGCTTAAGGTAATTGTTGAAGTCCTTCCAACCAAGAGGCAACATGTGGATTATAGACGCCAATTGGAAGGCTTCACTCATCACAATGCCTTCGTCACAGATCTCATCAAAGATTAATTGTATATCTTCAACTTGACAAAGCACGGTCTTGGAATCAACCATTTTAAAGTCAAGGAATCGACCGACAACAAATTTCGTTGCATGTCTATACTATCATGCCTACCATGGCGACAAACACAACATTTGTGGAAGAGTAGTTAGCTAGTTTTGCTAAGACTCTTGTAGGAATGCTTGTTCTCCTTCAAAACCAAGATAAGCGGATTAACGTCCTTGACGAAATTGTAGGGAGCATAATAGAAGGACATGGGAGTTCTACTCCAAGAAAGCAGCTCGAGGGGCAAGAAGATGTTGCTTAACAAACACCACTAGGTTAGACCTATAGTGGGAGAAGCTACTTCCCACCTACCGCCAACTAAGAAGAGCATACCAATCACCGAAGGCATGATATGGGTGAATCAGTTGAAGGACTACGTAATAAGGTTATCAAAGGAAAGTTAGATGAAGGCCAACCCTCCTATACCTACGCTAAGCACTACACACAAATAATCGAAGAGTTGAACATGTTCTTCGGCTATCAACCACCTAAGTTCCAACAGTTTGATGGCAAGGGGAATCCCCACAGCACATTGCCCACTTTGTGGAGACCTACAATGACGTAGGGACTTACGGTGATCTGTTGGTGAAACAGTTTGTCTATTCCTTAAAGGGCATTGCTTTTGATTGGTACACTGATCTCGAATCCGGCTGTATTGATAGTTGGCACTATATAGAGCATGAGTTCTTAACCCATTTCTATAGTACAACGAGAACGGTAAGTTTCTTAGAACTTACCACTACCCAGTGGAAGGGCGAATGTTTCGTTCCTTACATCGAAAGATGGAGTGAATTGTGCCTAAATTGCAAAAAGATGATATCTCAAAGCTCCGCAATCGAGATGTGCATCAAAGGCATGCACTTTGAACTCTCCTACATTCTGCAATGAATTAAGTTACCTTCGAGGAGTTCTCCAGACTAGTTTGCGACATGGAGTTGAGCATTGATGCTAGTGGAGGGACTAACATACTGAACTTTCCAAGCTCCTCCAAGGCACTTGGGAAACATGAAGTTAAGAAAGGAAGCAAACCCTTTCCAAAGCAAGAGAAGAAAGAATCAATTAATGTGAAGAGTAAACCAATGAGAGTCTTCAACAAAGCAACTGAAAGGCCAAAGTTGGGTCCATTTTATGGCCCAATGAGAGAAGGTAGGAGAATGACGATTGGCGAAAGATAGGAGAAAAAAATATCCTTTCTTGGATTCCAATGTATCTCATATCTTTGGTGAGGTAGTCAAACTCAAGTTTATTGAGTTGCCTGAGATGAAGCGCCCTAATGAGGCTTCAAGGGTGGATGACCCAAACTATTGCAAGTACCACAGTCCTCTTCGTCACCTGATTGAGAAATGTTTCATCTTCAAAGACAAAGTAATGGCACTGCTAGAGATGGGATGATTAAGCTTACTGATGCTAACACAAAAACAAATCAAGTTCAATTATACTTGGAAGGTTCGCTCCATTGTGTGTTGAGAAGGAAGATGAAGAGCGACGGAAGCATCCATTCCTATTCATTGTTAAGCAGCCTGTTGGTCAAAGTTCAAAGTGTAGCAAAATGATAGCAATTCGAAGGAAATGAGTGGTTACCCATAGAAAAAAGATAATAATTGAGCTCATGAGACATCCAAGGCACATAATGAAAAGATGGGATGAGAAGATCTCAACAAGTGGTCATGACCGTAGATCAAGAATCAAGGGACATGTCAAGCGGCCATGAGCACCAATTCCCTTGGCTCAATACATTCCAAAAGGATCTAATCCTCGAGGGGTAGGCACTGATAGCTCTTGCCTGACTACCAATGAAAAGGAAATGGATGGGGGAGAGTGTTCATCTCCTAAACATATCATAACTGGGGAAGTGAAAATGCATAGGGTTGTTTCCTATTCCATGAAAATTACTTTCACGGATGAAGACTTGTTGCTTAGGGGCACACCCCACAATTGCCCATTGTTTGTTAAAGGCTACACACAAGGGCAAAAACTTAAGAGAATTCTAGTTGATCAAGGCTCAACTGTCAACATTTTGTTTCTTCGAGCCATGAAAAATCTTGGTGTAATGATGGACGAGCTCACCCTAAACCATATAATGATACAAGGATTCAATCAAGAAGGCAAAGAGCAATCGGCATCGTCATACTTGATTTAAGAGTTGGAGGCCTAAGTTCTAGTATCCCTATCATGTCATACATGCAAGGACATCTTATAAAATGTTACTTGGGAGGCCTTGGATACATGAAAATGGGGTGGTTCACTCATCACGATACCAATGCCTTATGTTTGAAAAGAATGGTGTGGTCGAAAAGGTAGTTGCCAATGAAAGCCCATTCACAGATGCCGAGTCTTATTTTGCAAACGCAAAGTTTTACATAAGGAAACAAGTCATTGCGGAAGTTGTTGAGAAAAGAAATGAAAACCCACCTTTCCAACCTAAGTCAAAGGGCAAGCAAGTCTTTGACCGGGATCAACACAACACAAAACTCATCTTCTCGCTCGCAATAATCGATACACTTAAAGTAGATGAAATGAAATCATCTAAGGAGAAAAACTATGATAAAGCATACCAAGTACTACCCGCCAAGCGTACTAAGGGTTTCGACCCTAACACTTATAAGTTTCTAGCCAAGGCTCGCTATAACCTTAACGAGCCACAGATGTTGGGAAAGCTCATCTAGGAAGCCGATGGTAAAGGCAAGGTAATTAGTAGGAACCTCAAACACGCAAAGGGTTGGGTTATGTCCCCCCCTAAACTAGTGCGAACCCTTAGAAATAGAGCATTAAGTAATTGTATCTCCATGGATGAAAGTGAATATGATCCAAAACTAACTCCTACCAATGATAATGGACATGACAAAAAGAGGTCAGTTTTTTTTATAATGGGTAAGGTGGAATCTCGATGCTCAGCCTTTGACAGAATGGGGTCAAATCCTAAAGCCCCCAAAAGAAAGGTTATACATGATCGACTTGGAGTTGTCCAAGTTATGAAGGACAATACCAATCATCCAATTGAGGTAGAACCTTCGAAAAGGCTTAGAAGTATGATTCCTTCTCGTATAAGACGAGAAACAGATATTCATATTTCATATGTAGAAGTCTTGAGGGTCCAACAAAAGATCATCATACACACTCGTGCGCATAAAGAAGATGATGAAAAAATTATAGGTTCATGCTCATTTGGAGCAACCTACTAGATATTATCCGGAAGCATAGCTAGTGGAGAGTAGGTGATGTTAAAGCTATACGTATTTGGGGGGATAAATGGCTTCCAAATCAAGTTGAGCCTAAAATTCAAACTCCTCCTTTCCCTTATTTGGAGGAAGCATTGATTTTGTCTCGAATGAAGAATGGGGCAAGTGAGTGGGATAAAGATACTGTGAGAGATATATCAATAGAAATGCTAGACTAATATTAAGTATTCCACTACTAATGGTTCAAATGGAGGATACGCTCATTTGGATGGAAGATGAGAAAGGACTATTCACTGTTAAAAGCTGTTATAGAGCAATTACAAAGGAATGATCATGTTGAAAAGAAAAAGCAGGTTGCAATGTGGAATTTTAATCTTCCTAGGAAAATAAAAAAAAAATAAAAAAAAAATTCTGGCAGCCTGCTACTAATTGTCTTCCAACCACGGATCTTCTAAGGGCTAAACAGGGTGAATTGTTCTACTACTTGTCAATTGTGTCAAAGGGAAGAGGATTCTATACCATACTTATTCATTCATTGTCAATTACAGTCAAGTGCTGGAAATTTATAAGACTGCCGATCAAGTTAAACAATTTTAGGTCCTTCTCAGATTGGGCAGTACTGCTAATGTTAACTGTTTGCTGGAAAATTTGGAAGGCAAGAAATAACAAGGCCTGAAATGGACATATTTCTTCTAGCAAGTTGGTAGCTGAAAGAAGAAAAAAATTTCTTAACTGACTGGAGGAGTACTGTGGGAGGTGACAACAACAGGAGGAATCAAACTAATCCTAGAATAGCAAAGTTGCAAAAACCTAACCCAGGTTACTTTAAATTAAACTCTTATGTGGTGGTGGACGAAAGTCGTAGTGTCATGGAGCTTGGGTGGGTTAAGGCATGGTTGTAAAAATCGCGTCTAGGCGCTAGGCAGCGTCCGGCCGCTTCAAGGAACGTCGGAATTGGCCTCTTTCTCGATTTTTTTTATTTATTTTTTTTATTTTTTGGCGAATAACCCCCTAAAAATTTATAAATAAATAAATAAATAACCGGCCGCCTAGGGGGCACCTAGTGTCTTTTTCAACACTTTAAGAGGGATGACAACAGGAGTTTTATGTTGCGATTAGCATGCTGGGAAATGGAATTTAATTTGTACCCCTTGTGAGACAGAAAGAATGGCAAAGAGGGAAGCGTTGAGCTGGCTAAAGAAGCAAAGATTCACAAAAGGTTCAATTAGAAATAGACGCACTTCAGGTTGTTAACAACTTTAGTAATTTTGAGGGTATTTCTTCATTTAGACTTTTAATTTTAGATATCAAATATACCTTATGCTTTTTACCTTATGTAATTATCTCTCATGTTGAATGTATTATGAACATAGTTGCCCATCCGTTAACTAAGGAAATTGATTATACTTCTTTCATTATCCGTATCACCATTTGAATTAATGAAATGCCTTAGTGTAAAAAAAAAAAAAATGGATATAAGGGGAGGGAAACTCCATTTCTCAATTTAAAAATGACAGTTAGTAATGCACCGCCATCATCACCCTTCTCTTATTCACAAAGAATTCAAAGTTTTCTCCTTTTACTTGATAGCACCCAAACGCCACCTTAAAATCTCTTCTTGCATCGAATCCCAAATTTCAAATCCAGCAAATTCTCCTTCAAGTCCATCATCTTATTCATCGTACCAATCCGACTTGATTCCAAGAAAGCCCAAGTTCTTGAACAAATTTACGCGGAATGAAGCATCTGAATTTTCTTCGATTGTTTCGTGTAACAAGAGAATTACCAGTTATATTCGATCCATGGATTTGGATTCCGCTCTTAGAGTCTTTGAGAGCATGGCCGTTAGGACTACAGTCACATGGAATTCAATTTTAGCCGGGTTCTCAAGAAAACCAGGGAAGTTTCAGGAGGCTCGTGAGATGTTTGATAAAATTCCTGAACCGGATGTTGTGTCGTATAACATAATGTTAGTTTGTTATTTGAACAATGCTGGTATTGGAGCCGCAAGGAGTTTCTTTGAAAAGATGCCTGTAAAAGATGTTGCTTCCTGGAATACCATGATCTCAGGTTTTTCCCAGAATGGTATGATGAATGAAGCCAATGAACTGTTTGTGACAATGCCCGTGAGAAACGAGGTGACTTGGAATGCTATGATATCAGGATATGTTGAGTCAGGCCAACTGGAACCGGCACTGGAAATATTTAACAAAACACCCGAAAAGGGTGTGATTGCCCGGACTGCAATCATTACAGGGTATATGAGGTGTGGCAACATTGAGTTAGCAGAGAAGATGTTTCAAGAGATGCCAGAGAAGAATTTGGTTACTTGGAATGCTGTTATTGCTGGTTATGTTGAGAATGGTAGAGGGGAAGATGGTTTGAAGTTGTTTAGGAAAATGGTGGAGTTGGGGATTAAGGCAAACCCATCGACCTTGAGTAGTGTCTTATTAGGATGTAGTAATTTATCTGCATTTAGGTTCGGGATGCAAGTTCATCAGCGTGTGTGTAAGCTCCCGATATGTTTGGATATGACAGTAGGAACTTCGCTGATTAGCATGTACTGCAAGTGCGGAATCTTGGAGGATGCGTGGAAGTTGTTTCTTGATATGCCAAGAAAGGACATTGTGAGTTGGAATGCAATGGTTTCGGGGTATGCTCAGCATGGGAAGGGAGACAAGGCACTTTGTCTGTTCGATGAGATGAGACATACTGGAATTCAACCGGACTGGATAAGTTTTGTGGGAGTTTTATCAGCATGTAACCATGCAGGATTAGTGGACCTCGGGATTCATTATTTTGAGAAAATGCAAAACGATTATGGGATCAAGCCAAAACCCGATCATGTTACTTGTATGGTTGATCTTCTTGCGAGAGCTGGCAGGCTAGATGAAGCTGTTGATTTGATAACAAATACAGATTTCAAACCCCACCCGGCCTTTTTTGGAACCCTGCTAGGTGGTTGTAGGATCCACAAAAACGTAGAAGTGGCTGAGTTTGCTGCAAAGAATTTGCATGATCTTGACCCTAGCAATGCAGCAGGCTATGTTCAACTAGCTAACGTTTACGCTGCAAAAAACAGATGGGACGATGTTTCCAGGGTGAGAAAACTGATGAAGGAAAACCAAGTTGTGAAGACACCAGGGTATAGTTGGATGGAGGTTAAGGGTGTGGTCCACGAGTTCAGGTCGGGGGACAGGCTTCATCCAGAGCTAGAAGCCATACACGCGAAGCTAAAGGAGCTTGAAAAGAAGATGAAATCTGCAGGATATGTGGCTGATCTCGAGTCTTCTTTGCACGACATGGGCGAGGAACAGAAGGAGCAGATGCTTCTGTGGCATAGTGAGAAGCTGGCTATTGCCTTCGGTTTACTGAGAATTCCCGTGGGGGTACCCATCAGGATATTCAAGAATCTTAGAGTTTGCGGGGATTGCCACAAGGCCACAAAGTTCATATCGGCAATTGAAGATAGGGAGATCATTGTCAGGGATACGACAAGGTTTCACCATTTTAAGAATGGAACTTGCTCATGCTGTGATTACTGGTGAAACATACAGGCTTTGACTTATCCCTTAGTTTATAGATGGTTATAACTGTATGGTTATTTTTCCTGATGAACTCATAGAAGCATTTGATTCATGGAATGCTTTTAGATAATATAACATTTTCAAGAATTTCACCTAAGCTAAGAAGTCAAGAAGAATGAATTTGCATATATGACAAAAAATGAAGTAAAAATTAAATTTGTAAAGTATGCATATTCTAAAGAAATCTCACAGAGCATATATATACCATTACAAGAGTTATGTGGTATAACTAGAAGATGATGAACCATTTTCATGTATCTTGGGAAGTTTCATGTTTGGCCTTAAAAAGGAAAGCATGTGTCATTCACCACTTGATTTTTATGAAAACAAATCACTAAAACAATGAGGGCAAATACTGCCTTGTAGCAATCATCTTCTACACTTTTGTACAAAAGCTGTTTATAACTGAATAGTGGAAAGAATTGGTGTTTTAACAAAACGCGGGAATGAAAAAATATATATAAAGCAAACATGCAGAATAGTCTACTTCATGTCAAACAACTAAGATTAATTTTACATGCCACATGAAGAGCATCTGAGCATATCCAGAAAATAGAATCTCCCTTTCAACTTGAGCAGCAACCAGAATTTTGGTTGACGGGCTGTCCTCGGATCTGCACAGTAGGAGGCCGTGCATTGCTTGAGGAGGGTTGAGTCGCCATTCTACAAAGAAGACAAAAGTTATTGTTATCAATTTAGGGATTTCAGCATGGCCAACTTTGGGAGTAGTCACTTTCATAGTCAAGGGGGTTAAACATGTCAGATATGAAAATTTCAAGGATAGGAAAAGGAACTGCTACTACTAATACATACGCAGATTTTTAAAAATTTAGTAACTACCTGTTTTTTATTGAACCAGTCATGGCCATGAAAGCCTGCTCCACATTGGTTGCATTTTTTGCACTTGTCTCCAGGAATGGAATTCCAATCTCATCAGCAAAAGCCTGCACCAAAAGAATTTTTATTAAAACAGAGCTGATCAAATTTGTCATCAACATGAGAATTTCAGTGTGCAAGGTGAACTAGAATTACCTTGGCTGTCTCATAGGACACAACCTTCTGTGCCGTTAGGTCACACTTATTCCCGACAAGAAGCTTGTTTACATTCTCACTTGCATATCGATCAATTTCATTCAACCATTGCTTGACATTGTTGAAACTATCTTGATCAGTGACATCATAAACCACCTGACAGAAATGCGATCAAGGAGGCCTGAGTCATTACATGGAAAACATGGTAAACAACATTAAGTATGCTAGTAGAAAACACATTACGTACAATTATGCCATGAGCCCCACGATAGTAACTGCTGGTAATTGTCCTAAACCGTTCTTGACCAGCAGTGTCCCACTGCAAACAACAAGGTATGGGAAATAAGTGCTGTGCTCAAACAAAGTGGATGATGGAAAAGGCAAGTACATATGTAAGAACAGTATAAATAAGAGAAGCAGATTCTTCCAGGAAACTCATTCTTTATGAGGACTAATTCCATCTTCTGAAATGCAAAATAGGGAAAGAAAAGAGAGATAACACAATATGAAATGGCCAAGCTCAATGAGTCCAAAACTAGTACTTACAATTTGGAGTTTAATGGTTTTCCCCTCCTGTTCCACTGTCCGGATTTTCTATATGAATTAAATAAAAGACGGTTAAGAACAGACTAGAAATGGTTATAAGAAAGATTAGTAAACTTGAAAATGTGTAAATCACTTACAAAATCTACTCCAATGGTACTGATGTAACTTTCAAGATACGAGTCATCCTAGAATCCAAAACCAAAAAATGAAAATCAAATAGTAGGAATGCACACTTTTATAAATATTGTTGCATTTTTGCACTAGGTCATATCCACATCAACATGACAAAAGGACAAGTTGAACAACAATTGAATAGTACAACAATAGGATGGTTAAATACATGTTAAGAAGAATACTCATCTCAGTTCATGTGACATGCTGGGTTAACATTAACATTTCATAGCCTAAATCTACTAGCTGCTAGACAATTTGTGATTTAGGGAAATTTCATATTCCCAAAAAATTCTCCAGGGAAAACAAAGCAAATGGTCTTTTACAGAATAACACAACATATTTCTATGAGGTAAAAGAAATTCAGACACCACCATTTGACCATATTTAGATGAGCTAATAGAAGCAAAACTTACAGCAAACCTCAGAAGAAGACAGGATTTTCCAACACCAGAATCTCCAATCAGCAAAAGCTTAAAAAGATAGTCACTGCACAAAAATTGCATTGAAGTCACTCTATGGGAAATTAAAAGTATGCACAGAAGAAATGCTTTCTGTTCAAGGTCAAAATTCAGAAAAGGAAAGTCTTTCCCACAGTTTTCTTGGGGAACCTCAACCAGGGTGTTACTCTACTCTTGTATCAAGTATGATGCCAGTTCAGGTTCTAGCAAATACTAGAGTCTGATGTCACCAAGTCATCAATCAAACAAGTACACATGATAATATACCTAAGTCATGCTAAAAGAAAGTTTCTACTGGACAAAACCACTGGGCTGTTAGTTAATTAGAGAACTAAAATATTTATTGGTTCCACAGTGATCATATATTAACCAATAGCTAGAGCAATTGACAGATTATATATAGAGATATAGAAGAACAAACTCCCTACACCGCTACACGTCACAGGCAACAGCTCAACTTAACCTAGAGTTTAACAGCACTTATTAGCAGTAAAACAGACAAAAGTTGGTGGCATCAGATTTAATAAACATTTTACAAGCTACTACATTTTCAATTGCTGAGGCCTAAGGAAAAGAATAAAAAGAGCTACTTGAGATCTACAATCATCGATTCATCAACTTAAAGAATCAAAAAGTGGAGTCACCTCTTTTGATTAGTAAGCCACTAAGCCTCATTGCATAAAGCCTATAATCTAAGATCTATCTATTCTTTAAACACTTTCCTTCTTCATGCACAGCACACACTATCAGTAGAACATCAAAAGTAGACTATGTCTGAGAACATGGAGTTTCACATATACTGTAATTGATACATAAAATCATCACATCCAAGGAAGCTAGTTGAAAACTAATTAGCCAACAACACGATAGCCTTCTACAATTAGTTAAAGATGATTAGCCAATATGTAAAAGGATAATCAGTCAGCTGATTTCCTCATCAGACTTAATTCTCTTTAACACGACAATTCAATGTTTTCAGTTATATCTAAAACCTAAAATTCAGAGAAATCTGAAGCAAATTTCAAAAGCAGAAAAATAAAAACTGAACCATGCTAAGAAACTAGCTCGCGTGACAAGGGCTATCCGTGCGGGGATTAGACAAAATAGAAAATTCAAAGCTAGTCGAACGGATCCGCAACCATATCATTACATCGATCTCATCTATGCAATCAAATCTATACAGATCAGAGCAGCACTCGACAATCAAAAAGCCTAGAATTTCCAGGACATTCACGCAGGAAAACCGGGCAGATCTTTCAAAACACATATGATAGATCTAATCAAATTTTATAGAGCAAAATCAATACCTCCTACCATAGTTAATTGCAGCAGATCGTATAACGTTTTAAACAAATTGGTGTAATTCATCCTAGAGCTGGTAAAACGACTTACTATTCAGGATTCATAGCTGCAGCACGGCTTGAGATCGATGAGGCTGAACGGAAATACGTAGAAATTCGGCGGAATTTCCTGTTTCCCGGCAAGAATTAATCAGGCTTTTTAATTTCGTAAGATGGGGAGAGATCTGGAAAATACCGACAAGGTCGGAGTTCATATATAGAAGCGAAACTGTCAGGAATCGGTACTAAATAAAATGTTCAATTTTTACTCGTATGCGGAAAAGAAAGAATTATTTCGTATTTTACTTTGAGTTAATTTCAATTACGCGGAAAAGAAAGAATTATTTCGTATTTTACTTGAGTTAATTTCAATTACGAGTATGTTTTAGAGTAAAATTGTAACATCGTCTCATAGATTTTTATTCATAAGACGATTTGACTCAGATTGAGTCAATATAGAAATATAATATTTATACTAAAAAATATAATATTAATTAGGAATAAAGAGTTTGTTACTCATAAGAGAAATTATAATACTTTTAGAACAAATGTAATACTTTTACATTTTACGTAAAAATATTATATTTTTTCTTATAAGTAATGATGACAAATGTTATATTACTTATAAAGGAAAAATGAAATACATTTTAAAAAAATTAATATATTTGTTAAAAAATATAATATTTTTAAATTAAAATATAAGAGTATTATTATACTTTTTCAGCAATAAATATTTTATTTTTTTATTAATAGGAAAAACGGCGCTTTTGGTCCTTCAATTGTTTTACTTTTGAAAATTTAGCCCCTATCAATTGATTTGAACAAACCTAACACTTTAATTGTTCATAATGTAGCACATTTGGTCCCTCATGTTATGTAATTAGAATTGTTTTTAATAATTTATATAATTTATTTATTCAAAATTAAAAATATTTTTTATTATAAATAAATACATAAATTAAAAAAAATTTAAAAAAAAAAAAAAAAAAAAAAAAAAAGAACCGCCCTGGCTGTCCGCGCCAGACAGCCACGCCCACAGCCGTCTAAGGAAGACGGTCATGGCCGTCTTCTAGATCTGAAACGAAGGCTACGGCCTTCCCCACCACCCTCGTTCATGTCCCCGCCGTCTGGAACGAGGGCGGCGGCCATGGCCGTAACCCTCGTTCCAGATCTAGAAGACGGCCATGGCCTTCGTCGGCCATAGCCGTCTCCGTGAAGAAGACAGCCACCAGTTGTCCGGCGTGGACAGTCGGTGGCGGTTCTTCTTCTTTTTTTAAAAAAAAATAATTTTTTTAATTTATGTATTTATTTATAATAAAAAATATTTTTAATTTTGAATATATAAAGTATTAAAAACAATTCTAATTATATAACATGAGGACCAAATGTGCTACATTATGAACAATTAAAAGGTTAGATTTGTTCAAATCAATTGATAGGGGCTAAATTTTTAAAAGTAAAACAACTTAGATGCCAAAAACACCGTTTTCCCCGGTTAATATTACATTTTTTCAGTATAAATATTAAATGTGTTGGAAAAAAATGCTTGTAATCTGTAATACATTTGAAATACAACAAAATACAGAAAACAACAGGGAACAAAACTGGATCATTTGATATCTTCAGGCGTGTAATCACTTTCCTATAAGCTTTAAATCTCTCTCTATAAAAGCAACAAGGTTCAAGATTTAATCTTATGGGATACAAGAAGATGAATATTGAAATTCTCAAGTTGCTTTGTTTGAGAATTTCCTGTTGAGATGTAGAACTGTGAAATATCCCAGTGTACTGCAATTTTGCTTTTGCTATGTCTTTTTCAGATAATTCTCCAAATATTTATAGATGCAAATAAACCAGTTTGAAGAAGTTACCTGGAAGTTAATTATTTGAATTTAAAACTTAACTTCCATAAAATATATCTTAAATGATATATTTATCATAGGAGAATTATATTAATTACATAAATCATGTTCAACATGAATATATATGTAATTATGAACCTGTGTAAGATTATGAACCACATGCAAATAACCGTGCAAATATATTTATTATAATTTTCTAGCACACTTTTGCATGTAAGTTTGGGAAAATTGGAGGCTCACATGCTGTGTAATCATTTTTCAAATGAAACAAACAATTCCCCTATATTGGGTAATAAACTCCAATGTTGGGGAATAAATCCCAATGTTGGGGAATAGACAAAGTCTTCCAACAAACTCATTCTCCAATTAACTTTCTACCAAACTAAAATAATATTTATAACTCCACAACTCCAAATATTATTTTAAGCTTTTCATGGTAGTACATCTGAAACTTTAATCTCCATTACTATATAAATTTCCAACAAAATGATTGTCTTCCCAACCTTTTTTAAGGGATAAGAGTTTAGAACCACTCACGTTAACTAAATTGGTAAAAAAGTTTACCACGTTTCCTTTCTAGAAAAAGAAGTCTCCAAGAATTCTCTAAGGCTTGAGCGAAAACTAATAACTGTGTTTATGTCCATGATTCTACCCCATATGTAGATCTTATTTTGAGTGAAAGATACTTTGGTTTTATGCAAAATGTGCCTTAATTCATTTGTTTATATCCTTAGGTGCATAAATTGTTGATTTGAAGACAAACGTATCCTTTTCGAGGCATTTTGAGTGAATCTCGAGTCCATCGGAGTCAAGGTTAAGTTAAGGAGATGGCTAAAATGCTTCAAAGAGAGCCAAAGAGTGGTACTTTCAATGGATTTAATCACAAGAACAAAACAAGGGGAAAATGAAGCAAAAGACCAAAGAGTTGTAATTCCCACTAAATTTGGCGACATCTTAGAATTTGGATCATATCTCATTTTAGAAATGTCCGATTCAAGCGATTCTTGTGTCATTGAAAGAAAACTCAAAGGGCTACAACTCTTATGAAGACCTCAAAGTGTAATTTTTAAGGAAATGGGGGGTCAAAATTATCATACAAACCGGACCTGTGATGCAGAAGCACATTCGACGCGTCAAAAATTTCCAGTAAGTTACGCGAAGAAAGAAGAACAAGGCTCGACGCGTCGAATGTCCGTGCTGTGTGAGTTTTCAACTGTTCATAAATTCCTGTTCTACCCCTATTTGGCTCCCACTATAAAAAGCCCATCTTCCTCAAACCCTAGACCTAGGCTGCGTTTTTTGGAGACAAAAAGAGTGAGAAACATCAAGAGCCACAAGTCACCTTGGAAGAATAAGGAAAAGCTAGGAAGATTCGGGAGAATCTCTTTCCCTTTTCTTTTACTTTCTTTGTTTCTTGTAAACTCTTTTATGTTATTGCAATGAATGCTATTCTAGCCATGAGTGACTAAAACATTTTAGGAATTTTTGGGTGAAAGTATTTATGAACCTATGTGCCTAAATTCATTAATATATTTACATTTGGGTTTTATAGCTAGTGTTGCAATTGCGTTCTATCTTGTTGATGCTAGTAATTAAGGGCCCAAATTACTCGTTTCAATGCTATCTTTATGTCTTAATGGGAGTTAGGGCATATTTTAGAGCACCCACAATTGCACTTAACTATTGCACATTGGGAGATGACAGTTTAGTTAATGATTTATCTTGAATGCTTGTTCTTGAATTGTTAGAGCATTTATATCATGGGAATAAATATTCACTCGCATTATTTTAGGTTGGAATTACGGGAGTAATTCCTTCCCTTGTATGCATTCTCACATTTGTTTGAACCCGAATTAAATGTTGCACTTCATATTGGCACTGGGTGATTAAGCACTTTGAACCCCATAAATCTCACTCTTTCTCGATTGTTTTCATCAACATGCTACCTTGTTCTCTTTTAATTAGTTTTACTTTTACAATCAATCAAACACCCTTTTCGATAGTATTAGTTTCTCGTGAATAGATTAGTAGCTAGTGCTTGATACGCCTCGCTTCCCTGTAGATCGATAACCCGATACTCTAAGTATTTGTTTGTTAAAATATGCTACAATCAGAAGCCAAGCCTAAGAGGGGGTTTGGAAATAGTTTACAACCAGCAATAGTTTACCACTTTTAATTCTTAACTAATTCTCTTATCGTATCAAATTTATGACTAATGATTAAAGTTAAAAAAAAAAAAAAATTCAATTTAAACAACAACAAAAAAATTGTCAATAAACAAACTAAAATTAACCGTACTTTATTATATATCACATATTTAATGGGTCGCAAACTCACAACTCCCGTTATATCACTTTGACGCGGGCATATAATCCGACGCAGCGCACAACGTCCGTGCAGCGTCTCGAAGCCGGCCCCTCATACCTCACAGACCAGCCTTATCCACATACGTGCCACACTGGTTTTGCTTTGACATGGGCTCATCAGGGGAGTGGCAATAGCTCCCAACCAGTTGTGCCCTTCGAATAGCATCGCTCCCCTTCATAGTCAAGTCTAAGACTAGCGACAGACTCCCCAAACTTAATCGGGTCAGCGTGCCTAACTCGGTCAGACCTTAGCGTCTAAGGCAGAACAACCTTAACGCTATTGACGTCTCCTTCACCCAAATGGCAAGCTAACCAATTGGCCGTTTCCATCTTTGGGTCTTAACACGGTCACGGAAAAACAGTCTGTGACATTCTCCCCCACCCAACATCTAGCACGCCCTCGTGCTAGGAGAGAAGGCCTCTGCCCAAGGATCGACGTACTCATATTGTTGCCCGTTATGGTGGGGTCCTAGAGGTATGACTATGCGAGCACGGTGGCATGAGAGGTGCGCAACAAAATATATGAGATTATTGAGGAAATTTTCAAAGTGATCTTCCGACTATGACTCTTTCTCAAATTGGTCCTATGACTTGTAATTGAACTCAAACTAGTCCTCTAACTATTGAATTTTAAGCCAAATCGATCATCTGTTAGTTAGGCGTGAACTTGACCGTCAAATTAGAGGGCAAAACAGAAAATTTACATTGTATAATGTTTAGACTACCAGAGCCTTTGATTTCTCTCTCAAATTAGCGGACGAATTGCTGAAGCCTAAAGAACCCTTAGTAAATTGTAAATTGTGAATTTCCTCTAAATTTTATTTTGCCATCAGTAAATTATACAATTCATTTGCTAATTTGAGAGAAAAATCAAAGGCGCTGGCAGTCTAAACATTATACAATGTAAAATTCCTGTTTTGCCCTCTAATTTGACGGCCAAGTTCACGCATAACTAACGAAAGATTGATTTGACTTAAAATCTAATAGTTGAAGGACCAGTTTTGGTTCAATTAAAAATCAGAGAACCAATTTGAGAAAAAACTATAAACTATTTTTGAGAATTTCCTCTTATATATGATTATTGATTTTATAATCTTATTTGGTAGATTTAGAATAATTTAGAGTTAGCATATTTACTCATTTACTCTCCTCACACTCCGACCTGATCGTTGTCGAGATTCAAACATTAGTCTCTTATTCCAAATACGACCTACTGAACTATTAAACTAAGTCATGCGGACATTACTTAGTATTAAATTGTATTGTATAATGATTGATGAAATAATAATGCTATGTTCCAACTAACTTTATAGTCATATTAATTAAATCGGACTAAATTTATACTCAAGATTGTAGAAGAAATCGGCCTATACTTAAAAGCCCCATGCCCCCATGCGGCATGCATGTTTCAAACAATACTATTAAAAGTTATTATATTCACATTGCAGTCACTATAATAGTTGTTGCATAGACAAAGAACCTATTCAGTAATTGGTTGATAGCTGATTGTGTTAATTAGATGATATAACTAATTGATAACATTAGTTGTTGTAGAAAAGTGTTTGGTAAATTAGCTATTTAGTATAATTTTTTTTCTGAAAAAGTTAATTGAAAAAGTTGTTTGGAATAATTTTTGAATTTTAGCATTTTGGAGTTACAAAAAGCTAATTAACCAAACACTTATATTGATATTTTAACTCCTTCAAAAAAAAATATTGATATTTTAACTAAATTAAACAATTAATAGTAGTCAAATAAGCCAAAATTAACCTATAAGTCAATTTTTTACCAAACAGGGTCAAAGTGAAATCATTTTTTTTTTTTTTTTTTTTTGAAAGGGTGAAATCATTTGTTTAGACTTTAGATCAAGATCATTAATTTATGTGATGACCATTATTATACTAGATAATTAATCCTAATTTTTTATAAACTTAAGTTATTTTAATGGAAAAATGGTCAAATAGGCCCTCGAACTTTAGCTTAAAAATTAATTAGGCCCCTAAACTTTTTAAAGGTTCAGTTACACCCATCAACAATTCATTTAGGTGCAATGAAGCCCCAAAACAAGTTAATGACTTGCTATCACAGGTTATTAGGGTTCGACATAAAAAAGGTGACCAGCAACCGACCCAGATTTGTCGAAAATTTTGCCGGTCACTTCTTTTGTCAAAAGTTTCGTCGGTCACTTTTTTTTTTTTTTTGTTGTGCCGGAAGGTGGCCTGAACCCTAATGACATGTGATAGCAGGTCATTAATTTGTGTTTGAGCTTCATTGCACTTAAATGAATTGTTGATGGGTGTAATTGCACCTTTAAAAAGTTTAGAGGCATAATTGACTTTTAAGCTAAAGTTTGAGGGCCTATTTGACCATTTTCCCTATTTTAATTTCACCAGATTAGTTCTAAATCTAAAGGATCTCTTCTTAAAACTACTATGGAGGTAAATTGTAAATAATATAATTAATTTATTGATTAAATCTTAATTTTTATATGCGCGCAAAGAATTCAATTCAGACTTTATAATAAATTGTGAAAAAAGTTATCAGTAGATTAAATGATCACAACTCTCTTATATTACGGATCGAAGTACTTTATTCACAAGGTTTAACCGTTGAAGGACCTGACGAAACACGTAAAACGGGAAAACGAAAAAGCGTTCTTTCGTCGTGGCGGCTACTACGGCATATATTTTTAATGCTTTTCTCCCTAACCCGCGTAAACGAATAGTCAAAACCCACTGTCCAATTTTCAACTATTTCCACTGCTCTTCTCATCTGCGTTCCAACCCAAAACCGGCGATCATGTATCGCTCGTCGAGCTCCGGCCGAGTCTCCGACGAGTTCTTCCCTCACTCCGCAGCAGTTCCGACGCCCGCCTTCTCATCTCCGAATCTCAAGTCGCCGTCCACCGGCGCGTCGGATGAGCTGCCGACGTACAATCCCCAATCTCACGTAGCTAAGAAAGAGAGAAACCGCCTCAGATTTGCGGAGAACGCCGTCCATCTCATTCCAGTTGTGTTAGTACTGTCTGCTATCATCTTGTGGTTTTTCTCTAGTCCAGGTAAACAAACAAATCCCAAATATCTACGCCGCAGTTGATTGCTTCTTTAATCGAGCGTTTTTGTGTGAAATTTCTTGTGCTCTGTGCATATACATGTTTATATATGTGTTGGTGTGGTTGAATGTTCATTGATCTTGATATTGTAATTGGAAATTGCCAAATACTCTGTAAACTGTAAAATGAAAATGCCAGCTACTCAGAAATTTGTTAGACTAGATCGGATTTGTGTGAATTGGTATATGTTTCTGTTCTTAAATTAGAATTTGTCTGAGGTGAAATTAGCTTCTCCCTGGTTAGCAGTAATTTTAAGTATTACTGTTTTTATTTCGGACTGCACATTCAAGTAGCTTAAGTCACTGGAATGCTTGATCTTTGAACACATTTACATATACTGATGCCTTGATAGTTACTTGGAAATATTTGTGATGAACTAAGATTGAGCATGACAAGGACTGGGCTAAGTGGCTAACCCAGTACTGAAACTGTACAGTGAATCCTAGTTCCTAAGCCACGAAATAGAAAACTAGCAAATAATTAAAGAAAATCTTACGTACTAAATCAAAATTTAAGAGAGTGGATTGCAGGATAGGTTTAAAAATATATCAGTGTAATGTAGTGAAGTCTCTGTGTGTTCCTCGTTTTTCACCTTGACTTGGCTTATATATATACCCTTGGTAGTTCACCAGCTTTGGCCTTTGCCCTTAGCATAACCTCTGTTTTGTGAAAAACATGAAAACCACTAGACTTCATCTTTTGCTTGATGTTAGACCCTTTGCTTTGATAATCGGGGTTAAAATGTGATGCAACACAGTTTAAAGAACTCAGATTTTTCTTTCAAATACTTGTCCTTAGGTTCTTGGTTTTGGAGATTTGAGAAAGATGAAATAAATAGTGTATTATGTTATTATCATAATTTTGATAGTAATACTGATCCATCATTGAGTTCTCCATGACAGAGTGTGCAAAGATTACAAGAATGTAATATAGATTATATTATCATCAAAGTACCCAAGCATAAAGTACCCATCATTAGAACAATAGCATATCATCCAGACTATATTGATGATTTGAAGAAGACCATTCTACCTTATTAATGTTCTATCTACAAGTTAGACTCACCCCACATCCAAGTTCAATCCAATAACCAGCTTCTTGTTTCATGCTTCCTAACCATCCTTGGGCAGCATGCTTTTTGTAGTTGCTTTACCAATAGAGGGGGGAAAGAGGAATTATTTTAGTTCCTGTTCACTTGAAACTTTGATCAATGTTGTAGAAGGTCCTAGACGCTAGTCGGGTGCCCGAGGGGGCGGCCGAGTAATAATAATAAGGAAAAAAAAAAAAACACTCGGCCAAGTTGGCTGAGTTGGCCGACTCGGGCACCTAGTTTGACCGAATCGGGCACCTAGTTTGACCGACTCAAGCACCGAATTGACCAACTCGGGTGCCTAGGCTGCCTAGTTGGCCAACATTAGAGTAAAATACCCTCTGCCTAGGGGTGCCTATGCCGATTTTTACAACTGTGACTCTGATACAAGCACATGTTTAGAAATGATTACTGCATCTCTTACATGACTACATGAGCAGTCTTAAAATTGGTAGATACAATTGACACACACAGTTGAGATAATTTGTTAATTCCGCTTATTAGTTTGTTTGCTGCAATTAAAAAGTAAGAATTTGTACACCATTTAGAATTTGAACAACCAATATGATATTAAAGCCTTTGAAGCTATGCATTTTTATCCCTTGCTGCAGTGCAGATGGTGAGTAAAGGCAACCCCACCATTGGCAGAGTCAATGCTCCAGTGATCTATACTAAAATCAAAAGTGGCAATGGAAAGAGTAGTTTGACATCAAAATTGGAGCTGAAGGGCAATGATCAAACATATCAATCCAAGATCCACAAGAGAAGGAATCTGCAAGACAGGGATTCATTTTGATGGACTCTATGGATTATGGGTTCTTATAATACATATCATTCATTAGGACTAAAACTCATTTCGTATTTCATCTTGGTTTACTTTGGATCATCCCATGACTCTTTGCTTTATAGATGGAAAGCCTACATAAACCTATAGTCCGCGTTGCTAGCAAATTAGCAATATCTGATTTCAAACTCTGTATTTGTCTGTTTATGTGGGATAAAAAAAAGGGGATATCCTTCATGCCTTCAATGTGAAATTTAATATATATACACCAAAGATAACAGTAGGTGGAATAATAAGCCACTCAACATGATTAGACATAAAAACAACTGCCTTTGCTAACAAACAGGCGACCTATTCACTAATTTTTTCAGACAATTTTTTAATGAGTTAATACTCAAAATGGTCCTTGATTATAGTTGTTGTTGTTGTTGTTGTTGTTTTTTTTTTTTTTTTCATTCTAAATGATTTTGTGATTTAATTTAGTTATGATTTTTGGTGTTTTTGTTCAATGTAGTTTTTTGTTTGCATTTTCATTCAAGTGCTGCTAAATCCAAGTATATTTTGATAATTGTAAGAATATGTCTCGTCCACCCATGATGTTTACTACAAGTGAATTCTTTTCTATCAAAAAATTGTTGACTAAGGGAACACAAGAAGTTGAAAAAATCAATGAAAAAACAACAAAATTCACGAAGAATCATCAAGAGACGAGATTATCGAACGAAAAGCAAAGAATTAGTAAAGAAATGGTCGCAAATTTCATAGCAAAGAAAAAGAAAAAGAACCAAAACAGCAGCAAACATTTTCTACCTGGAAATGACCCAGTCTGGAAGCAGGGACGGAGGTGGGCTGCCCCTATTGCCCAAAATCGTACAGTCCCAAAACGACGTCGTTTTGGGCCTATATTATATATATAATTTTTTTTTTTTTTTCATTTAGATTAGATAGCAGTTCACGCAGAGCTTTGGAGACTGGAGTCGCCGGAGTCGCTGCTTCACCGCTTCCGGCTCGCCGCCTTACCGCCGTAACCCCCTCAGCCCTCAGTCGCCGCCCGCCGGTCAGCAAGAACCGCCGGCAGTGCCTCTGGTCTCCTCTCAGTATTCAGGTTTGTTTCTTTGCCCTAATTTCTCTAATTTTAATTGAATACATGAATTAGGGCAATTGTATTTTACTGTATGAAGTATGAGCAGGGCAATTGAATGCATGAATTAGGGCAATTGAATACATGAAGCTTTTTCTTAGCCCTAATTTCCCTAATCAAGACATCTAATTTCCCTAATTTCTCTAATGTTAATCAAGACCAATTCATCTATGAATGTATGATAGACTAATTCATGTATGATAGATTGATAGTTAATCAAGATACACACGTATAGTCCAATTCTCTAATTGTATTTTACTGTATGAATTAGACTAACTCTGTATCATTTTACTGTATGAAGTATGATTTTGGTTAATTTTCCTAAATCAGTAAATTTGTATGAGTTTGGTTAATGACTTAATGTATGATTTTGGTTAATTATTCAAAAAATACAGTAGCTCACTTACTCATACAGAGTTTGGTTAACGTATGAATGTATGATTTTGGTTAATTACTCAAAATATTCTGTATGAGTAAGTGAGTAACTCTGTATATACATAATACATTATTACTGGCTGTATGATTTTGGTTAATTTTCTTAAATCTTAGTTATATTGTATTTTATTGATTCAGTTATGAAATTTTTTTTCAAAAGAAAATCAACTTTTGGGAATTCATCTAGTCAAAGTAGTCCCGAAGTGTCAAGTAGAGGGCCTCGTATTGAAGTTAACATAGATGAACATTTTTGAACTCATTTTACCTTTGCTTCTTCGCCCCCTCAATAGAAATCCTGGCTCCGTCCCTATCTGGAAGAAAGAGTGCGGCTAAGACAGCCAGTCGGGCCAACCAAAAAAAAAACAAAAACTACCCTAAAAAAAGGCTAAAATGCCTAGATTGCCTAAAAAAAAAAACTACCTGTCGGGCCACCCCTATTTCACTCATTTACAAATTCACAATTCCATATTCATTATTTCATTTGCTCACTGCCGTCTGCTTCACTTTATCTTCCCGCTTCAGCCGCTGCCCGCCGCCGCTCTCCTTCACCGTGTGAACCTGCTGCTCTCCGCCGTGTATAACTGGGTAAGTTCCAGTTTTTTTTTTTGGCCGGATAAACCATACTTGTGTTTTCTCCGGCTAAATTGCCTGTGCGTACCTGAGTCTTGCTTGAAAATTTTGAATGCTTTAAATTGTGAATGTGTATTTTGTAATTTGTAATTAAAAAACTTATATTAAACTGTAATTCTGTGCTTTCTGGGGTTTTAGAGATTTGGGTATTAACTATTAAGCTCTGGAAATGGTTGAAGTTTTGTGGGAAGTTGTAGTGGGTTGGTGGGTGTTTTAACATCATGTTTTGAAGTAGCCCACACCAAGTTTCTAAGCTGCAAACAAAATGCATAAAGTGTTCTTATTTTATGCCAAGAAAGTCACAAACCAAAAACACTCTAGGCCATAAAGCTCTCAGAACATGTAATGTCAAATGTACATATTTAACCATAAAGAATATTGTTTCCTAGAACCACAAAACTAGTATAGAGAGCAGTAAGAGCTCTTCTGCTAAAATGTAGTTAAAACTAGAATAATACTGCACTCGCTACTACTATAATAAACTGGAAATGATGATTTGAAGTTAAATTAATTATTAAACTTTAACTAGTGAACTTATTTTGGATAAAAAAATAATAATTCTTAGAAATATATTTGCAATCTCTACTACTTGATTTAAATTTTAATGTGCTCAGTCATTCTGTTCTATAGAATGTAAGTACTCATTTTCGGTTTTCAGTTTTAGTTAAGATGGTTTAGCCCGCTAGATAAGCCCGGCAACCCGAGGTTTAGGGTTAGGGCTAACCCGAACCTGAATATAAAATAATAAAATAACTTATAAGCCCGACAGGGTTTGCCCGAAACCGAGCGGGTTGGCCCGATTGTCATCCCTATTTCACAATGCTTGATGTGTACTGAGTGATGGGTTGTGGAGCTTTTCTTTGTTTCTTATCGTTACCATGGATCAGTTCATATAATTTTGTGAGGGAGAAGCTTTTGGCCCTAACGGAGAGGCAGTACCTGGTATACTGAGATTATGTTCAAATTTCTGAGATAATTCACTTCGATTAGAAAAAAGTACTTTTCTTCAAATGAACATTGCAGGGCCATTATGACTTCTGAGTTGGCTCTTTGTTGCAGATACAGTATGATGGTTTCTTTTCTAGTATTGTATTTTCTTTTTTTTTTTTTGAGCCAAATGGCTTACATTTACCTTCCTTGATGTGATATCTTTTTGGAAGGGATGAGTTGAGTGCGGGAAAAAGGCTATATGTTGATTGGCTTCTTAAGGTCAATTATTGATTTTGTTTTTTCCTGCTAAATTATGGTTTTCTAATGTTTATTTTTTATTTTTTATTTTTTATTTTCCCTTGACTGCAGTTCAACATCATAACTTAAGCTACAAATTCGCCTATTGGTATCCTCCATTGCTGCTATCCACAAAACTCTTTAGTGTGCAGATAACACTAACGCACGCATGGCTTCTGTCAGAACCTTTATTCTTAATGGCGCCCATAGGCACTTCTCTCCCCTTTTCATCCAAAAATTCCCAATCCGACTACTCACTTCTCACCGCCGCCGCAGCAGCCTCTTTTGCTATTCTTCATCGCCGTTGTGCTCCTCCGCCCAGTTTATTCCCCAGCTCAAGAGTGAGCCGGAGATGGAATCCGACCAGCGGCAGCGAAGGCGGAACGTGGTGGAGATTTTAGAGGAGAGAGGATTACTGGAGTCCGTCACTAGCGAAAACCTCCGTTCAATTTGCTCCGATCCGAATCTCCCACCCCTCAAAGTCTATTGTGGGTTTGACCCGACGGCTGAAAGCCTCCATCTTGGAAACCTTCTTGGCCTTATTGTTCTCTCCTGGTTCCTTCGCTGTGGCCATAAAGTCGTCGCTCTCCTTGGCGGCGCCACTGGCCGCATTGGTGACCCCTCCGGCAAGAGCGTAGAGCGGCCGGAGCTCGATTACGTTACATTGAATCACAACATCACTGGAATTTCTGCGAACATTCGGCAAGTACTGCTCTCTCCAGATTCATCTTACCTCACCTCCAACATTCAGATCCTAGACAACTATGATTGGTGGAAAGACGTGAAATTTCTCGATTTCTTGCGAGATGTGGGAAGGTTCGCTAGGGTTGGGACTATGATGTCGAAAGAAAGTGTGAAGAAGCGATTGGAAAATGCGGAGCAAGGAATGAGCTATGCAGAGTTCACGTACCAGTTGTTGCAGGGCTATGATTTTGTGCATTTGTTCGAAAAAGAAGGTGTCACGGTTCAAATTGGGGGCAGTGATCAATGGGGGAATATTACAGCCGGAACAGACCTTATTCGCCGGATCATCGGGAAATCTTCGGAGACCGAAGCAGCAGCTTCTTTGGCTTATGGTTTGACATTCCCACTTCTCCTCAAGAGTGATGGGACCAAGTTTGGGAAATCCGAGGAAGGAGCAATATGGCTCTCACCTTCCCTCTTATCACCTTACAAGTTCTACCAGTACTTTTTCTCTGTTCCTGATGCTGATGTGGTGAGATTTCTCAAGATTCTTACATTTCTCACCATTGAAGAGATTGAGGAGCTCAAAACACAAATGGGGAATCCTGGTTATGCTCCTAACACTGCACAACGTAGGTTGGCCGAGGAGGTTACACGGTTTGTTCATGGACAAGAGGGGTTGGATGAAGCCCTGAAGGCTACAGAGGCATTGAGGCCTGGCAATGCAGATACTAAGTTGGATTGGAAAACCATTGAGGGAATTGCCAGTGATGTTCCGTCCTGCTCGTTGCCTTTTGATCAGGTGTTGAGTATTTCGGTTTTGGATCTTTCTGTTTCTAGTGGTTTGCTCGAGAGCAAGTCTGCTGCGCGTAGAATGCTCAAGCAAGGAGGGCTTTACTTGAACAATGCCCGAGTTGATAGTGAGGCTAAGAAGATTGAGGAGGACGATATTGTGGATGGAAAAGTTCTGCTTTTGTCTGCAGGAAAGAAGAACAAGATGGTTGTGAGAATTTCCTGACCCATAGCTGCTTATTTTTTATTCCATTGACGTGGTAGAGACACAATGCTATCACCATTAAAATAGATAAACCTTCATGATCAAGTTGTATATCTCAATTCTCACATAATTCTATATGCTATCGAACCTTTTTGTATCACACATTGTCTGTTTTAATAACATTTTTCCGAAACCAGGTGGGTGGGAGGGAGCATTTTATAACTTTCTATCTGAATTGACTACTTATATATCTTCACAAACACTTATTTGCAAGTTTAGAGTGGAGTAGTGCATCTTTTGCTGTTTGTTTGGTGTTCTTTGTTCACACAGTAAATGGATCATTTTGCATATGAACATTTGTCCTAAAGCCTACACAGGCTATTATTGTAAGAATGGTTGAATTTATAGTGAGGCAAAATGATGGGGTTCCTGTATCCTATTCTTCGGATCTTAACTTGTATTTCTTTGTGCAGATTAGCCATATCACCAGGAAAGTACTAGCCAATAAATTGTTTTTTAGTTGTAATTTTAATTCCTCTCAGGTAGTTCTGAGAAAGAACCAATCTTTCAGGCTTCTTCAAGGACAGGCGCCCATTCCCCGGGTAATTTCACAATGCTTGATGTGTACTGAGTGATGGGTTGTGGAGCTTTCTTTGTTTCTCATTGTTACCATGGATGTGTTCATCTAATTTTGTGAGGGAGGAGCTTTTGGCCCTAACTGAGAGCCCTCACCATCCCAACTCCCTCACCGAGACTGCGAGTCTGCTTCTCTGGTTGTCTGTCTCTCTGCCCATCCAGTCCTCCTCGTCTAGTTGTCTGCCGACTGTAAACAAGGTAAATAATATTTAATAATAATTTATATTTTTGGTTGAGCATTTAGTATTTAGTAAGACAGTAATCACAGTATGGATTAGTTGTATTTAGTAATTTATATTTAGAGTAAACTTTTGACTGTAATATATGTTAAGACCGAAGTTACTGAACTAGGAAGCATTGAGAATAAGTTCTCTTTATCTATTTCACTTCAGATTTAGTTATTGTATTTTGTATTTTTATTTTTTTTGGGTGTTTTGTATTGGATTCTTTGTCACCCCTCAAACAAAGGGCATTATGTTACAGAATGTCTTTTTGGCTCCTTGCAATCAAATGCCTTCCTTTCAGATGATCAAAATTTTTGGCTTTCCATTCTCTCTGTTAGCTTTCGGCTGCAAATCTCAGCTTTCCTGTCTTCTGTGTTTATATTGCAACAATGTTTAGTTTTCATTACAATAACAGGTTATGCAGCACTGCAGCAGCAGATTAGATAGTAATTGAATTGTATTTTGTATTTACTAATTTATATACAGTGAGAGTGTGAGTTTAGATAGTATGTGTACTAATTTGTTTATGTGTACAGTGAGACATGGAATCATATAAGTGATTGAAGGCTTAACAATTTAAATTTTTGATAATATCATAATATATATTTTTTTTATTGGCATAATTCAAAAAAGGGGCGGGAATTTCCCGTCCTCGAAAATCCCCGTGGAGACGGTTCCCCATCCCCGCCGGGGAACGGGACAGGGATGAGGAATGGGGACCTGTTTTGGGGACGGGGACGGAGACCCCATTCCCTAACCCCTCCCCACCGCGTAGGCATTCTTAATCTAGATCAGTCCATTTGACATACCTTAAAACTTGTTTGAGTGCTATCTAGTGCTCAATGTTGGGAAAGTGTATGAACTCACAAAGTTTGTTGACTATAAAAGAGAGATCTAGCCGAGTAATGGTTAGATGCTAAAGTGCTCAACAAGATTGTGATTTTTTGAAGGATTATATTCTGATCTTGTGCCAAAGGCCTTGTGGTCGAGCGACATAGTTGTGGCTTCTCAAATGAGAGGTCTCAGGTTTGAACCCAGTGTGGGGGCATTGACTCTTTGTGCTTGACTACTGATAAAATATAAAGTTCTAATATGAATGAGATGACTTGAGTCTCAATCTCTCACATTTGGGAATGGGGAATGAGATGACTTGAGTCTCTTACCCTTAACCAGAGGTCTCAAACTTTAAATCTCTTACAAACGTACTCTTATGTAAGAAGACCAATGTCTAGTGCTTAAAAAGAATTTACCCCTATGATACGATCCTGCGTCATGTGGTGTAATTTTTTACCTGAGAATTCCAACTATACTACCTGTGAAGGCAAAGGGCATGTTTGGATAACAACAGATATGCCATTTTTGGCGAATTTGAGTAAAATCAGCTTTTTGACTTGTCAAAACGCTGATTCTAGTGTTTAGTTATCAGCGGTTTAGAGTAACGTTTTAGCTCCAAATCGTTGAAACCGCAATGCAATTAGTCACGTTTGAGATTTGACATTTTGAGACAATGTTAACCTTTTCCAAAACACCCCTGATAAACATTAATATATTAATATATAAAATACAAGTTTTTTGCTTGTTTTCTTTTTTAAACATTCTAGAAGCTTCAAGGCTTCTCAAATAGAGAAGCCTTCAATACCCCTCCGAGGCTTCACTTTACAAAGGAGCCTCAATGCCCCTCTTTTGTTTTTTGGTGATATGAGACAAATTAAAGGGGAGCTTGCACGCAGGCTTCCCTTTGTCTTTTTTTTTTTTTGTTAATTATTATTATTATTATTATATATATTGTTTATTATTATTATTATTATTATTATTATTATTATTATTATTATTATTGTATTGTTTCTATTTATTATTATTATTATTATTATTATTATTATTATTATTGTATTGTTTCTATTTATTATTATTATTATTATTATTATTATTATTATTATTATTATTATTATTATTATTATTATTATTATATTCTTGTATTGTTTCTATTTATTTAATTTTGTATTAATATAATGTCCTTATAGGTCATTTTACATGTTAATCAAATTGTTACGTTTTAATTATAATACTCCGTATTAATTAATGCAATTCCTTATTGTCCTTAAATTAAAATTGATTTCTGCTAAGTATCAAACTGCAATTTAATGTTTTTATTAGACTAGTTGGTCAATGATCTATCCTTTAATATTGATCCAGTTTTTCTTACAAAACTAACATGATCATGTGATGGGTGTATATGTTTGATTGATGAGTGCAAACAACTATACTTTATTGTAAATGGTTTGAATTTTTGTGTACAAATTACATATGAGATGGTAAAAGTAAAATTTTCTTTACTCAAAATGGAATTCATGTTATTTTATCAACAAAATTTTCAATTAATTATTTCTTTTTGTTTTCTTTATTCTCTATATATTTTATAGAAATACAAAAATTCTAATGAGTGGCCAGATGTTGTAGTTTGGAGGGCATCAAGAAAAAAGTCTAATAAAACTTAATTGATCCGTTCTAAATGTAAAGGAAATCATGGTATAAAAATTATAGTCATATAAATGTTTTGACATCTCTTTAATTAATTTACTTAATTACAATGTTGCAAAACACGCTAGGCGCCCCCTAGGCGCCAAGGGGGCGCCTAGGCGCCGATTTTTTTTTTTTTTTTTTTAATTAAAAATAAAATTAAAAATTAAAATTTTTTAAAATTTAGTAATAAAACATAAGGTTTCCATAGTTATTTCTTAGAAACTATTTACGAAAGTGGTTGTAAAAGTGTTCAAAAGATTGTTTAAACCATCTAAATATATAAAAAACTAAAATTAAGAGCTAAAGAAGCATTTTTTTGAGAAATTAGTGGACCAAACCGCCTTCGGCTGTTTGCGGTGGATAGATCTCGAAAAAATACGCGATTTGAAAAAAAAAATTGTCCAAAACGGACAACCATGTCAAAAGTTATGCCTTCCCGAAATTTTCGCAATTTAAAACGCAAAAAAAAAAAAAAAAATAAAAAAATAAAAGCGCCGGTTCAGCCGGCTAGGCGGCCGGCCGCGGAGATGGCCGATTTCGACCTTCTTCGCGGCGGCGCAATGGCGCCTAGGCACGATTTTTGCAACATTGCTTAATTATTAATTAATATTTATACCTTATTTGCAGAATGAACTTCAAGAAAAGGGAGAGAAGAATAAAGAAAAGATTTCAATTGTATCTCTACTACTTGTTGAGCATTTTTATTTGTCATTAAATTTAAAAGAACTCTTAATGGGAGTTAGGGCATACTTAAGAGCACCCACAATTACACTTGACTATTGCACCTTGAGAGATTGTATGTTTGTTAAGGAGTTAACTCTTGACTATTGCACATTGGAGATGCCATATTAGTTAAGAAATTACCTTGAATGCTTGTTCTTAAATATAATTGTTGAGTGTTTATGTCATATAGGAATGAATATTCACTCGCATTATTTTTGGATTGAAATTATGGGAGTAATTCCTTCCATCCCTTGTATACATTCTAACACTTGCTTGAACCCGAATTAAATATTGTTCCTTAGATTGGTACTAGATGATTAAATACTTGAATCCCAGAAATCTCATTCTCTCTCTATTGTTTTTATCAACTTGCTACCTTAGCTTGTTCTTTTAATTAGTTTTACAATCAAACAATCACTTTTTTTTTTTTTTTTTTTTTTTTTTTATAGGATTAGCATCTCAAGAATAGATTAGTAGTTAGTGCTTGCTCCGTTTCCCTATGGGTCAACAACCCGATACTCCGAGTAATTATTTGTTTGAGAAATATTCTGCATCCAGTGAAACTGTGGGAGAGAAGCCATATAGGTCATATCTTTGGCCGGCTAGCCGGCGTACCTCAGCCGCCGTGGGGCAGTGGTGGTTGGTCAATAATCTCTTATCTCTTCATGCGTGGAGAAGTGAAGGGTGCGGAAATCTGAAACCTGTTATGTTTGGAAGGCCGGGGTGGGAAAGTAGATATGGAAAGTGGGTTAGCGGTTGACTAGGGGTTACGGAACGTGCATGGAACTTGAGTGGATGTAACGTGACGGTGTTAGTGGGGGGTAGTAAATGTGACGAGGGTGATGCGCTGTCTACAAGGTGTAGTTTTTGTTGATCAAAAGCGTAGGGGGTTAAAAGATGGTTGTCTTACGGAGGGGGTTGGGAATATTGACATGGATCGGAGTTGAGGGGTAAATGATGCTGTGAGCACGTGCCCACCATACACATGTTGTGTATGAATCTATATCTATAATTTTTATATTATAGATTCATAATTTTTATACTGTAGATTCATAATTTCTAGAATCTCGATGAGCTAAAATTTATATTTTAGATTCCAATTGTTGAACCATGTTTTCACAAATCAGTGTAGTACAGAAATTATGGATCTAATGTATAGAAATTATGGATCTACTGTATTTAAATTATGGATCCTACGGTTTTAGAAATTATGAATCTAAAGTACAAATTTTAGCTCACCAAAAGTCTAGAAATTATGGATCTACAGTATAGAAATTATGGATATAGATTCGTGCGCACCATGCAAGGTGAGCACGTGCTCACAACATAACAATTGGAGTTGAGGGGTTTG